TATGAACGGAAAACGTCCTCGTGGGTTGCTCCTTTTCTTCGTACAATCATGGTCACTACACCTCTTCCATTAGGTGCCGAATGGAGCGGGGTAAGGGAGGCCTATGGTCAGATACGGATTAAACTCTATGAATAAACAGGTGTTCCTCTTCGTGAATTAAACTCTCGAGCAACTCATTTAGGTTGTTCGGGTCAGTATCAATATTGCAGAAGCCCAGCCTGTTGGCCAGGAAATCTCGTAAGAGAACGAAATCGGCCCCAGAACCATTCCCCGCTTAAATCCCTCACTGAAACCTTGGACTTTGCAGGCTTATCCCTTTTATGATTTAGTTGCTGGACAGACCGCTCGCTAAGTGGCTTACGGATTACAACTATGATCCTGCACGCACGAAGTGGAATTAGCGTCTGCAGGTCGGGTCATCCGAGTCTGCTTACCCTAACAGAAGAGGAATTTAAATTCTCCTACTGTCGCAGCACCGGGGGATCCAGGAAGTCACCAGTGCAAGAACGTGGACACTCTGGCTATTGCCCTCACGGTCCTGGATCCCAACCGAACTGAACCGAACTGATGTCCTGGATCCCTGAACTGAACTGACCTTGAGCGGTTTTTGAGAGAAGAACATTTTTGGCGGAACTGGTCGTGTATGCCGCGTCGCTACTTGTCATCACCGAAAATGGGCGGTTTCGAGAACTTAGGTTGGACAGACGTCATAGGTAGTTCTGACAGTGATGATCGGAATGCACTGTTGGTCAAGCTTTGGGAATATTTCTCCACAGCAGCCGCGGGCGTCTGCCAATTATACCGAGGCAAGGTCGATAAATGTGCAGATTTCCGCTGTCTCATCGAGGCCCTGCAACCCATGGATCAGTTTTTCAAGGGTGAGCGCCAGTTTCTCCCAGATCTTGAAGCTGTTAAATATGCCGCGGCTTAAACCTTCTCAAATCACCTAAGTTAATTGACTATGGTCAACGAAGCTTTATTTCGATAGATACGCCTCGTTATAAAAACGACAATGCGAGCAAATACTGTCCTCTTAAGAGCACAGTTGTGCCAAAAATAGGCACTTAACGGATTCCTAGTCAGTTGCGAATTTGTTTCGCGCAGTCAACAGATTTGGGTACCAATCTTAGAACGTTCTGGAACCGATGTTTGTCTTGCAAGGAAGTGCCATTATTGTCCTTCGAAAATCTATTGGATCGTTTTCGTCATAAAGACTCGCAACGAATTCCTCACAGTCTGGCATAATGCAATAATCTGTTGCTGCTTCACGTCCCTTTTTGGCGAATATCGCGCAGATACACTCTTGCTCTCTGTTCAATCTACAGAGGCTCCAAATTTGAGACATTGAGATGGCTTATAAGTGTAAATCGCCGTTACATTGCTCTGTTAGTTGGGTCTAAATCCTACTCCCGTCGCCTTAATTTGTGGCGTCCTCCGTTGGACTTTCAATCAGTTGTATATCCATTCAATAAATAGAGTGAATTTTATTATAGAAAACCCTTGATCAAAACAGAAGAGAAGCTAGTTACATTAGAAGATAACTAGGATTGCACCTTACGGTAATCTGTAGGCATCCAAATCTGCTTCCCCTACACAAGGCGATACTTATACCCAACCTGTTCGTGCGTGTCTGCCTTCTCCAAAGGAGACGGTTTTTCGCTCTAACAAAGTAGAAGATACTTAATCAGAGGTTTTAAGATAGTCGAAGGATTATCCTGTTTGCGTTTTAATTGGCGCAAGGGGGTATAGCCTTAAAATTCAGTACAGCCATGTAGTACCAATCTTCCTTTCCTATTTCTTCTCGTTTAGTCTGTTAACACTAAAACAAGCGATGCGGAGTGATGATATGCTTTACCTGTGTTAATTTAAGCAATATATAATTGCTGGTCTGAAACTTTCCAGCGGCAGTTTAATGTGTTGTTATGTAAATTGTGTGCTCGTCTGCACCCGTATCACTTCGTGCACAATGTATATCTAATGCTTCCAAGTGCTGACAACCAGATGAACTGTCGACAGCAGAGCGAACTGGGTTCTGGATTAGCCCAAACCGTGTGGAAGCCATTAAGCATCGTAGTGTAGGGAAGTATAGAGTATGCAGAGCCTCGCTACCCACATTATCAAGTTTCCCGATTTCTTCAACTGTTCAGCCGTCTGAAAATGGCAGTGCTCAATTTTTTTAACACTTGAGTTCGGTAAATGTTTAGCATAGGGTACATATACTTCAACCACAAATACAATACTAAACTGTTTGTCCTATCTTCAGTTAGGTACATTTTATCTCTACTGAGTTCATGATTGTATAAGCGATTTTTCAGGAAGGTCCAAACTGTCGCGACCCAGAGAAGTGAGAAGTTAGACAGTAGTGGAGTTTGAACACGACCTCCAGGGTGATAGTTTGGCGAACATGTAACGACAAGTATAAATAATTAAAACTGACTTATTCTTGTGTTCCCTTGATTTCATACAGTGTAATCCGATGTATGCATGCTGGCTTGGTTTTCAGTCAGTTCCACTTAGTGGGACCAAATTAATTCAATTCAAACCTTCGGTGTTAGCTCCTCTTTTGGTGTTATTTTAAGGCCGTCAACACATCTTTTTCTCTAAAGATATCATAATATACTTCATTTTTCCTCGTTTTTAATTAGGTTCACAGCACTTCATGGAACTGGCCTCAAATCAAGGCAAGTGCACGGGCTCGCGTTGTTTACGTCTCCATTTACGTGACATAATCCACGCATTCGCTCAGACAAACACCACTGAGCATGGAACTGAAATAGTCGTCCCAGTGCAACTCTTGCTTTCATACGGCTTCGATAAAGCTACTCGATCCTCCGACCGTCGAGGTTCGTTAGGGAAACGTAAAAGACATCGAACCTGCTGCGTGGCACGATCACAGCCCAACTCAGCGCGCGCAAGATGCGTGCGATATTTGCCAGACCACTCAATCTCCCATCCGTCTTTCCGTGAAACTGGATTACAACCAGCAATATCGGATCGTTTATCTGTTGATAGTTGCTTCGGTTTCTCTGGGTGCAACTCCGGTTTTTCAACAGGTGTTCCTCTTACTAATTTGCAGGATTCATTCCCAACTAGAGGTAAGCTCTTTGCTACTAGAGTTCGTTCTAGTGTTTCGATAATTCGCGTTTGTGTGATCCTTCCACATACTCCTTGTCTATAGGTGGAGAAATTCGACCATAAATTTTCTTGAATCCATGGCTTCTAGGTATAGAAAGCTACGAATTCTTCATAGTACGTAAACTAATTGAATTCATCGCTGTGCAGCTTTATATGCTTGGAACTAGCCTGCCATTTTGCACAGTTTTCACTACCTCCTGATTGTTAAAAGAAACATCGTATAGGCTTGAAAAACACTACAAAATGTGCGGAGCGATTGGGATGAGCAGTTGTCTTTCATGTTTTACTCCAGGAGAATCTCAGTTTCAGTTTTGACGACCATTTACCATGCATTCTCATGCTCTGGCTTTGGACACTGTCTCTTGGCTGCCCATTCAAACAACAGATTAGAATGCTGATTGGAATATTGATAGTAGAGTCAAAGTGAAGATAGAGAATTCACATAGATTGGAGGTTGCAAGAATAATTGAGTAGATGCACGTGCGACACCCAGCCATATCACTCAG